CTGTATACTCAAAGCTATAGAGTATGTGCTGTTAGTATTTGTAAACACAAAGAATGTTGCTCAAGTATATAACAATTGGACAGTGTAATCCACAATTCTTCGTGAGCCTCCAGAAGCAGGTTCTCTGCTTTGTTTATAAGTCTGTGTTGAACTAACTGTCTTCCATAATCAACAATATCACTTGCATTTAATGAGTAAATAGTGCAGAGCATTGTTTACACAAACGATTATTTGCAACATAGACTTAGACTAAGACAAACATCTGAACACTGATGCGATACAGCCTGTTCAGAAGTGACTCTTTATTCTTAACAATAGGACTGGAATGTGCCTATTGTCATTTGTATTTTTGTTAATGTAAACACCTTATTTGGTCATACTTTGCAAGTCATCAAGTGTCTCACATAAATGCGACATCATCTGTAATATAAACAATAAATGAACAGATATGACTTTAAACAAAGACACAAAATAGAGAAAAATCAATTTGATTGAAAGATTGCTGTGAGGATGAGCAAAGACACCGAGGCAGAAGTAGAGTTTCTGACAGATTTAGCTGTAACATCACATTGCAAGGAATGAATAGTGACAGTAAGACATTAATGACTTGTTTAATTGTAAGACATTTTCTCAATTTTATTCTATCTCTTTCTTCCAACACGCTGTCAGACATTCCCTTTTTAATGGATTCAAATTTTGCAGTCCAAAAAACGAATCTTAGTTCATTTATTTAACTATGTTAAATAAATGAACTATGATTATTTGAATAAATCAGAACTAGTCTTACTTACAGATGTAAAATGTCCTCACCTATTAAAGAAGGGGGAAATTATATAATACTGACATCATACCACTATACATGTTATGTTATATAACCATCTGAGCCTTGTCACCTTGGCCCTTTTTTAGTACATATTAGAATCAAAGTTGAAAATTGTTTGCAGAGCAAAGCAAAAGTCTGCAGTTGGTTGTGAAAAAACTCTTTGCAACTCGGAGTGGTAGATTTGCCGTCTTAACTACTGTTTTCTGTAATAACAGGCAGGTGTTGTCTGACATCAGCTGTTTTCACATCTATTCTTTGGCTGGTGAATGGCAGTGTTTAACTTCTACTATTTATTGTAGTGAAACGTGATGTTATTTTTGTTGTAGATATACTTCTGAAACTTACAGCTGTTTCATTGGACTTGTATGTCTGTCTTTAGTAGCACATTGTTTATGCTGTGATCAAGGTCATGTGTGGCAGCTATGGAAATTGCTTCAACAGATTTATATAGTTTCAATCCTAAACAGAAGGTTAACCAAACTAAGATGACATTTTTGATCAAACGGCTGTGGCCTGATGGCTTCTGCATTGTAATGCATCTCACCATCTGCCACAGTTTTATATGGGAGGACTCACTTGGGTACGACTGAGGGGAGTTTTTTGTCCACTTCTCACTTAAAGGGTCAGTAGTACAATGGCCACAGTGTTACAGCTTCCAACAGTTCCAGGCACACTATTGTGTAACAGAAAAAGTTGCATTGGCCCAAAGAAAGATAAGTGCAAATGGTTGTCCTGCTGCGAGTTGGCAGTTGACCCAAAGCTGTCGAGTGTCACAGCAGGTCATAGGCTGTGCTTTTCTTGGTAGTCATCTTCTTTTAGGTCTGTCATGAAAAGTTTTCCCAAGCATTTACAACTTCTGTACAGTCAACAAAACAGCATTGTTCCTTTTCCCCAAACATTTAATTAACCTAACACTTAGAATAACATTTAAAAGGTATTTTGAATTACTCTTAAGGACCAAGGAAAAAGAACCAATGCTTTATTACTAAAGTTGCAGCCCTAGGTTGCCGACGTTATCAGTCTGAACAGATTGTAACATTAACAGCCAGTGTCAACTGTAGCTGTTAGTGATGACACAAAAAGGCCAGGAGTGATTGTCTGTTTCCTTTACACCTGATTTTTCTGGTCTCAATTGGTAGTGCCAGTATTTCGTAGTAAAACACAATTACACATGTCCAATAGTGACCAATGTTTCGCTGCACTATGTTGTCAGATTTCCTCTAAATTCACATTTCCAAAGAACAAGAAAGGAAAATCTGAAACTAACAAAATTCAATTTTAGCTGCTTAGTGACATTAAAATCAAGACTCAAAGCTAAAGTCAATACTTCCAAATCTTCAGTAAAATACTTAACTAAAATAACTTTTTTACCTTTAGGCTTCACTTTACACCTATCCTGCAACAGAGACAGCTTTTTCTATTTATTATACAGCACATGGTCTGTGGGTTAATTGTTGTTTGTTAAAACTGAGGAAGGTCAACCAGCAACAAGAATCCGTTCCTGCCATACCAACTCATTTAAATCATTATGGAGATATCAGTGGTGCAGACTGGCAGTTCCCTCAGAATTCATTGTCTTTCATCAGGTAGTACTGTAATGTTCTGATTCTGTATGTCTCTGAGTCTGGATGTTACATGGTGTTGTTTGAAAGTGATTTTTTTCTATTGTAATCATCCCATTCCACCTCACCTTCTCTATTGAGGCACCTTTTAAATAAACTACATGAACCAGTTTTAACTGTATTTACAGTAAAATGACACACTGATCTTTTTTAGTGTTCAACCTAGCTGTAACCTAAAGTTTTAGTCAAGACGCCTGCTTTGTTTTACCTCCGACATATTGAAGAAAGGTGGAGGCCTTTTGTCACTTTGTAGAATCACAGTGAATAAACACTTGGAAACAGCAAAGAGGAAAACTCCCTTTAACAGGAAGAAACCTCTAAAACCTGACTCAGTCGGGTCACCATCTGTCTTCCTCACCTAGTGGGTCGAATGGAGAGGAAATGAGAAAAACAAAAAGAAGCCTAGTAGAGAATCTAAATATAAAGCCATAGCTGTTTCTGTACTATATGACACAAGCGTTTGTGGAGGCTTGGATTCTATTTGTAAAGCTCACAACGTCAATACCACTGAGAGTTACAGGAGCAGATGGTTCGATATAACTCTGGCGCTCTGCCAGCCTGGCTAGTGCACTGAACAACACTAAGATTATTGTATCTTCACCGTAATAATGAATAATTGGATTTCAAGAACATGGCTGGCTTTTCTTCTTCTTGTTGTTGTTATTTTGAGTCATGATTAGAAATCATAGTGATTTGTGCAGTCACTTCTCTTCCTATTGCCTTCCCACTTACACATGCTTTCGAACACACATTTGTGTAATGCACCACAAGGCTGAATTAGCAGTTGTCTGTGAAGTAACGCCCTGTTCTCAATGGTTTTGAAAGAACATTAATGGCTTTGAGAGGGGAATCACGTGTCCACCACTCAGCTAACATGGACTCTAATAATCATCAAATAGTTTTATGAGAGAAAAAAAAAGTTGTTGGCCTGATAGGGTCCTTATTTGAATTTGGAGAAAAGGTAGATGTTGATCTGGGTTTCACTGACTTCTTAGTTGCAGTCCATTTGTCTCTTCCTGTTAAAATGTGAGAGACACCAGAGAAAGAAAAACAGATAGTTACTAGTCACACTAGTTTCAGTTTTCATACACTCGGTGGGTTCTTAAAAAGACGTTACTTTGATATTGTCCTGTTAAAGCATCAAAATTACCATTCAGCGCCAACTTTTTTTTTTTTTTCACAAATCCAATTTTAAAATCCTTTTTTAACATGAATGTTGTCTTTTACAACAGCTATCCAGTGGAAATCCTATCTATGACAAATACTACAGACAGGTAAGAAATATATTCACTAGCTTTTAGATTTTTAGATTATCATAGCAAGCAGTGATCTCTCATCACTGCTACCAGTTCAAATGTCTGTGTCCAGTACAGGAAGTCACTCCATGAATTAGTAATGCTTCCCTTTGCTCACAGTGTCTGGGGAGCTCACTGTTGGCCTCATGAAAGAGACCCAACAGATCCAGTATCACACTAAGAGACTACAGAGAAACTAGCATCAGTTTTATTAGTAATGATGTAATTCTCGATGCTAAGAATTACTTTCAGCAGTTGAGATGAGCTGTTTTATCTGTTGTTCTTAGACTGTAGAAATTTTGAATCTGGGTCTTTGTATTTAAGGTTGATCCTTCTGGGAGTGGACGGGTGGCGGCAGCAGATGCAGCCCTGTTCCTGAAGAGGTCAGGCTTGGCTGACCTGGTCCTGGGGAAGGTAAAAAAAACAAACAAAAACTAATCGGGACCTATGTATCCTAAGCTTTCTGCTTTTGATTTGACTGACAATGATGCAAATAATTGTTATATTATATAGATTTGGGATTTGGCAGACACTGAACGTAAAGGATTTCTCAGCAAACAGGTAAAAAAAAAAACATGATCGAGTTTACCTGTTGAGTGAAGATCTTGGTTTGTATTCAGCAGATTTTTTTTTTTTTTTACTCTTTCCTCCTTTTAGCAATTTTTCGTAGCACTGCGGTTGATAGCCTGTGCTCAAAATGGATTGGAGGTGGCGCTAAAGAGCCTTAATGTAGCAGTTCCTCCTCCCAAGTTTGTGAGTTGTCTGTTTCAAACTCATGACTGAACATGTTGTTTTACAAAGATGTTAATGTCTGAGTTAAATTATGGTCTTTCCTTCAAACAGCATGACACTAGCAGCCCACTCTTGGCTGGAGGGGTGGCCATTGATATACCCTGGGTTGTAAAGGTAATCTTTTTAATTTTTAACTCTTCCTGCAGAAAAGTTGGAAAATATTTTAGTTTAATTTCCTTAAAAATAAATAAATGTAGAAATAACACACACTACAAATGAGTTTGGACAGAAGCTTAAATTGTCATTAAAGTTACATTACGTTAAGTGGCTTAATTAGCAGAGTTTGGAATTTTTATTGTAGTAGATTTTTATTTGGCAGTAATTGCTGTCACAAACCCTTGTTTTCCTGATATTTTACTATTGTTCACTTCTTCATTTCATCTTTTACAGCCTGAGGAGAAGATGAAGTTTGACTCCATCTTTGACAGTCTCGGTCCAGTGGGAGGAATGTTGACAGGAGACAAAGTGAAGCCTGTGCTGCTGAACTCCAAACTGCCAGTGGACATCCTTGGCAGGGTACGAACTCCAGATAGGATTCTTTTATGAATTAGCTAAATGTGTAGATAACTTTCAATAAAGAATATTGTAGACTTCAACTGTTGCTGTAATTGTTGCTCAATAATGTTTGTGTTACATATAAAGGAAGTGCAGTCAAAAAAATCTTAAGAGGAAGTGAAAATCTGAGCTGAGTGAGAGTGTTTCTTGACCACGGTACATTTCTTGTACTCTATATCGATGTTTAGTAATAACTCACATTTACTCATGTCTGTGCTGTAGGTATGGGAGCTCAGTGACCTGGACAGAGACGGCATGTTAGACAGAGATGAGTTTTCTGTGGTGAGCTTTTCCTGGACACCTAGAAATGTTGAATCAACAAGGGCTGCATGTGAAAGTTTGCATTTAGTAATAATTTAGTGTGCTGCTTCTCAAATATTCTGGCAACAACTTGATCTTGATCTTTCAAGCATCTTGGTTGTATGAAAGATTTTAGCCAGTAAGATTTTGAGATTTCAGGAATAATTTCCGACCTAAATGTATTATCTAGAAAAATGTTCTTGTATTGAACAAACAGTTCACTGCAGGCTGTTAAAATACTTTTGTCTCCCTTTAAATGCATCCATTTCAGGTGTTGTGACTGAGCATCTGCAGGATTGTTGGTTGGTGATTTTTCTTTTTATAATTGTTGATTTTTGTTGCCCTCTCCCAGGCCATGTACTTGGTGTACAGAGCTTTGGAGGGGGAGTCCGTTCCTATGTCCCTACCACCTCCCCTGGTCCCACCCTCCAAGCGGAAAAAACCTTCGGTGCCTCCTGTGATGCCCCTGCTACCCTCACCCCCTTCTGTCAAAGACAGTCGCTCCTCCCACGCTGGCTCAAAGACCATGCCCCACCCTCCTAAACCCACCCCAGCTCCTGTCCCATCACCAGCAGTGGTTTCTGTGAGTACCAGACCCATCATCCCTCCGTCTGCAGGACCTGTAGAACTTCTTGGTGTTTCATTTCAGCATCAGTCACCTACCAAAAGGATTTATGTTGAATTTAAAGTGGCAGGTTACATGTATTTTTCAAAGGCACAAAATGAGACGGGCCCTGAAGGTAGGGAAATGTTTAGGTATTTAATGTCAATGAATGTTTCATTCCAAATTTATTCCAAAGTTAGACTTTAAGGGAAGTTAAGGTTAAAGTTAAGTAAATGTGTTTTCTATTCAGTGGGTGGTGTCACCAGCGGACAAAGCCAAATACGATGAACTCTTCACCAAGACGGATGGAGACATGGACGGACTGGTGTCTGGACCTGAGGTCAGGGATATCTTCCTGAAGACCGGGCTTCCCTCTGCTACGTTAGCACGCATCTGGTAAGAAACACAAGTCTGTCCATAAAAGTTCTCAGGCTCAACCCGAGGAAAAAGGACAGGGCATAAAAGAAAAGGGTCCAGGCAAGATGGAATTGGTTAGGGAGAGCACCAAGAGTGACGTGTGACAGTGGCTCTGTCAAGTAGTTGAAAGACTGAGTTAGAGGTGGACAAGATGATGAAAGACGACGAAACAGACGTTCCTACTTCAGTGAAATTTTGTGTTGATACAAAATTACAGCCGGTTCATGAAACAGCGTTTTATCCTTACTTCACTTGCTTCAGTCTGGTTGTTATTGTCCTGCCCTGTGTATTGGTTTCCACTGCTGCTGATCATAATGAACCAGTCAACCAGACAGTGGAGAACAGCCCTTGCCTGAGGTGTAGATCATTAGTCTCTTATGTAATCTCTGGCTTTTTTTATTCTCAGGGAACTTTGTGACATTGGAGACATTGGTAAACTGACCAGAGAGCAGTTCGCCCTGGCGCTCTATCTGATCAATCAGAAGCTGACCAAAGGCTTGGATCCTCCACAGAACCTCACCCAAGAGATGATCCCTCCATCTGACAGACAGAACATGAAGGTGAGTAACAATCAGCCCAGTAAATGATAGTTTTCGCCTGCATTTTATTTATTTAGCATCAGGTTTTCTGTTATCAGACAACAAAGACAACACTGGTACCTCAGACAATCCATTACAAAAGAACACTAGTTAGTGGACAGTTAACAGGTGTTAACTAAGCAAACAGAAAATATCGGTACACTAGGAAACAAAACTACAATATGGAATAAAAACAAGAAACACTACAATACATTTTTTACTTCTTTTAAAATATTAGGTTAATTGTTTTTTGGGACTATTGTAAGACTGTTTAGGTATCAACAGCATTAACAACAGTAGGTACAGCAGCACACTCCGGTTAGCTTAGTATTGGAGTAGATAATTTGTTCCTAATTAAATTACAAACTTTAGTATTTTATTACAGCTATCATAAACAACAAAGTTGCTTCCCTAAAGTTACCACTAGAGGGTGTCCAAGTACCACTATTAATACTCGTAATATAGTGAGAAGACCACTGATCTAGTTTAATGGAATTAAAATAGAGTGAAAGAATACTTGTCGTATGTAATCTTTTCTTTTTTTAGTTAAATTAAACCTTTTTCACCACAACTAATCCCAGAAGTATTGTTACTAGTAACCATCACAAGGTTTATTTTTACATTTTTATTTTAACTATTTCTTGCATTTCGAGCACCTCTGACAACATGGTTATTTGGGTTGTAAGTAAGGCACACTGGGATGAGTCTTGTCTGCACTTGGATCAGGTTTTAAATGTTTCTACCTTACCTCCCAAATCCTGAAAAAAAAACATGGAGGGACTTCCGTCAAAAACAAATCTTCTGTAACAACTCTGCCAAATCACTACACAGACAGAGGCTGTACCAACCCCTGATAAAAATAAAAGCTATCAATACATACAGTGCAGCAGCTGTCAATACCAAATGCTTTGCTATAATTATATAATGAATAAATACCCTTGAATTACAGCACACACACTTGTCTTGTCTGTCTGTAACAGTTAGGACGTGTTCTTTTCATTACAATTATAATAATATAAAGTAAATTCATTTTATTCAGTTTATTAATAAAACTGGTGTGGAATTCACTCTGCTTTTCATTCTTATTTTCCAGAGCAATGCAGCAAACCTGGCAGCTGACTTCTCAGCCATCAAAGAGCTGGACTCCCTCAGCAATGAGATTGTTGAGTTGCAGCGGTAAGATTTGAAAAAGAATACAATAGTGAATGGTACACAATGATAACACAGGCAGCACACACCGTTAGCGTTCTATTTTGGTTCGTCATTACTCTTCTCTCCCTCCGTACCTCCCTCTCCCTCCCTCCCTGCCTCGATCCTCAAGGCAGCCCGGGCTTCTTAGCCCTCATCTCCCACACATCTGACTGAGCAAAGACATCGTCAGTTCTCTGCTTCACATCGGCAGCCCAGTCTCCTCCACCAACATCTCTTCTCTCACTCTCGCTCTCTCTCTCTCTTTCACACACACACACACACCTCCTGTAGCTGCTGTTGTTTAAGAAGCTCTCCCACTCCGTGGACTGGGTTTGGAACATCATGGTTGTTCAGAGAGAAGTGGTGGTGTCTGTTCAGGAGAAGGGTGAAGATGGTTTAGCAGCGAGTTGGCTGAGTGGACCGGCTCTGACAGGTCGACCGTCTCTGTCCTCGGTGGCTAAATACTTCTGTCTCCTTTGCTGGACCCCTAGGGAGAAGAGCTCTGTGGAACAGGAGGTCAAAGAGAAGGAGGAGGCCATCAGACAACGCAGCAGTGAAGTACAGGTAAGATGCAGTTGGCCTCCATTTCAGTCTTTACCCAGTGAAAATGTTTTGTGCAGTGAAAGACGACACATTCATGAGTTCTTCACATAACAAATGGTTTTCAGAGTCGAATACATGCGGAAAATCTGTCCACCACCTGCTTCGTGAGGATGTAGGTCACAGCACAGTATGGTCAGAACTCAAGGAGCTGTAACAGGTCCTTACAGCTGTGATTAACGTACGGTTAAGACAAAGTGCATCAACGCGCTGCATGTAGAAATCGATAATAAACTCCACCAGACGTCTGAGATGTCCACTGAACAGCAATTACTGTTGTCTCAGAGATGGATTCTGCCTTCGTGCAGTTATGTCTGGCTCCTCTCAGCTTGAGAAATGAGCTCTATTTTTGGAGAGCTGAGTCTGCTGTGCCTGTGACAATTCACTCTGATGTGTCGGAGAATCGGTCTCCAGAGACTCTAACGCTGATTTAGCTGAATTTCACAGCAGTGCTGCAGGGTTGCCTCACGACTTAGCTATTTATAGTTCAGTGTGATTGAAGTCGACCTGATGGCAGATGTCTCCATCTCACATCCATGATTTCTTCTATTTACCTCTGCTCAGTATTCACATTAAAGCTTTTACATAAAGCCACTGTTCGTTAAAATGAAATAAGATAATTAGTGTTGTCAAAATTTCCTTATAGATCACCACATTTTTTGTAATTAATTAATTTAGTTATTAATTTATTAATTTTTTCAGGTCAACAGATTTTTTTAAAAATTACACTGGCAGAAATTACAGCCTCACTAGTGCATTGCTTCTTGATTTAGATTTTTATGACGGTACTGCACCTCAGATAGGAGTGTGTCCTTTCAAGACAACTTGAAAAAAATGATATCCTTATTATTTCAAGCACATATTTGCATTTATTAACTCAGGACCTACAAGATGAGGTGGCAAAGGAAAGTGGGGAACTGCAGCAGCTCCAGACCCAGCGTCAGAGGGTCCAGGAGGCCTTAGACGAATTGGACCAACAGAAGTCCTCCTTGGAAGAGCAGCTGGCACACATTCGTCAACAGACAACACAAGAGACACAACTGGTCAGTCTTTCTATTTTTTTCTTCGTGGAGAAAAAGAGCTTTTATCAGGCAAAAAATGTAATCCACATGTTTTGTTTTGTTTTTGGTGCGCATAGCAACCAGATAATGCATTGATGTCGCATCTATCACAGATTTCCTCACTGCAATCAGAGCATGAAGAACAGGAAAACAGGATATGTCAGTACGAAGAGGAGCTTGTTCAGGCACGGGAAGAACTCCTTACTCTGCAGGAAGAGAGCAGAAAGCTGCAGCAGAAAGTCCAGGCTGCCCAGGAGCAGCTCACACCTTTACAGGAGTCAGTGCGAGACTCCTTTAAACAAGTCGCTCAGGTTGGTTGTTGGTTTTTATGCATGATTCATTCACATAACACTCTTACATTTAATTTTTACTTTTTTTTTTTTTTTTTTAGGTTCAACAAAAGGTGAACGACCTCCAGATTGAGGAGCGATCTGTTACTGCTCAGCTCAGCTGGAAGAGAGCCTTGGAGGACAACTCTCCTGTCATGGTCAATGGTTCCACAGGCTACACAGCAGAGGCCCATGAGTCGGACCCCTTCCAGCAGGACCTGTTTGTGGACGATCAGCCCAAAGACCTGAGAGAGGAGGAAACAGGTCCTGTCTGTGGTCTTCAGAATGAGCAGAACGAAAGAAAAGTCAATGAGGATGAAGATGAGGTGGAGAAAGAAGAGAAGATTCTAAATACCGTGGATGAAGAAAAGCCCAAACCAGATGCTTTAGATGATCTCTATACCTGTCTGGCTTCCTCTGATTTGTATAATAGTCTGTCAACATTAGAGAAACGAAGGGAGAACACACTGAAGGTAGGAACAAATGACTGACCCTGACTGTCAACATTTGAAATAGAGAAAACAGACCAGTGTGACTAATCTTTTTTTATTTCATTTTACATTGAGACTGTTAAAAATAGAGGCTAGATTTTTCACCAGTTTAATTGGCGACTTATAACACTGAAGAGACTAAGTGATAAGGCATCGATCTTCTCTTTTGTCTCAACAGGAGAACAGTAGCAGCGATGTCTCTGCAGATGTTGCTGACGATGAGAACAAATCCTCTACAGAGAGTCCACAAAAGGTAAAAACAGATGATTGTAAAAACAAATCTCTGTCGACATGTTTGTGTAAATGTGTGGCTGAGAGCAACCTGTTTGTAAATGCTACCGATCATAGTTCACAAAAGCATTTATTTATACAAAGTGACTTTGACACTTCACATGCCAAAGTTGTTACACAAAAAAAGCAAATCTAATACAGAAAGTCAATGTGTACAGAAGGTTTATGTTGAGAAATTGATGAGAGCTGTCCTTATCAGGTAGCATCATTAGACCAGGAGAACAAACAGGAGCCAGCAGAATCCCCAGAAACCCCCTCCTCTCCAGCTGGGCCCATGCCACCACAGACCAGCCCTCCCTCCCTCCCAGAGATGGATTTCTTCAATGCAGATCCTTTCACTGATCGTGAGTCACACAGACACACTAACTGTTGTTTTAACGCTTATATGTAAAACTGAGATTTGTAGTAAACAGCACCCTGTCTTATGGTGCAGTGTTGGTGAAATCGCTGCTTAAATAAAGGTTTGTTTTCTTTTGCAGATGATCCATTTAAAGACGATCCCTTTGGGAAAGGATTAGCAGATGTCACAGGTAATATCTCTTTTACCTGTGACACTTCCAGGCGCCGTGCACTTTAGGATTTGATGCTCAATTGACTGCTGTTATTCTTCTGTTTCTCTTGTTTGTTTACCTAGATCCATTTGGAGGTGATCCTTTTAAAGGGACAGACCCATTTGCTGCAGACAATTTCTTCACACAAACCTCTAGTGCCCCCTTTTCCTCCGAGGACCCTTTTATTCCCTCTGCTGATCCATTTGGTACAACAACAGGCGGACCTGAAACAGACCTGTTTGCAGCCAAGCTGAGTGATGCAGCTCCTGTACTGACAGCAGGCTCTGATCCCTTCACCTCCAAACCATCCAATCCAGCTGCAGCAGCGAAGGATCCTTTCACCACTAAAGGAAACAACATGGGTGACTCTGATCCATTCGGAGGCAAAGCCAACGCCTTGGCAGAGGCAGATCCTTTTGGTTCTCACAGTGGAGCAGATCCATTCAGTTGTTCTCCAGTCAACTCAGACCTGGCAGTGGTGAGATTTTAACACAAACCAAAATGAACAAAAGTGTCTGACGTTGAGTTGTTTTGTTTCACCAAAACTATATATAGCTTTGACACACTTTCCCACCACCTAATACACGCCACCACTACCTAAACTTTACTTTGCTGTACAAGTTAGTTTTGCATAATCCCCTCATAAAAAATGAACAACAGTATTGTTTGGATTCTTAATATTTTTATTTATATAAGAATGTGTAAACTATGTAAATTAGTTTTTAGTATATTAGTATGTTTAAGTCATTATTGTGCAAGTCTACAGTCCCTCTCTGTCCACTGCTGGATGTTTTCCGAAGCCTTGTCAACATTTTCTCAAGTTAAATGTCTTTCTGTAAATTAGTTTTTAGTATATTAGTATATTAGTATTAGTATAAAAAGTATTTTAAGAGAAATTTAGCTTTGTACGGTGTATTTGCTAAGATTTATTAGAATGAAACTTAGTACAGACGTGTCGCAATGTTGTTGCAATATGAAACATCATCAGTAGATGGCAGTAGATGGTTTCATTACTTAAAATTGTTGGTACACGTCAGCCTATCAGAGAAAACCTTCTGGATATTTTTATTATTTTATACGTAATGTTACATTAAAGATATAAGTCTCACTTGGTTTTAGTAGCTTTCAAGGTAAATAACGTTTTTTTTAGTTTGATCTTTTTCATGTTTTTTAGAAAGACACCGCAGCAGCCAATGATCCTTTTGCTCCTGGTGGTACGACAGGAAATGCCAGCTCAGATCCAGGTATGACCTGAAGCGTGGTGCCATCTGTAGTTTGACTGCTAGTCAAATATAAAAGATAAGGAATGAATGAAGATGCAACTTAGCATCTATACACGTTTTGTTTGTTAGTTTCACACAGTCATTTTGTGCTTAAATGTTTCAGATCCCTTTGCTGTTGTGTTTGGTAACGAGTCATTCGGCGGAGGCTTTGCAGATTTCAGTGCCTTGACGAAGGTAACTTGATAAATAGATGAAGATTTTTCTGTTTCTAAGTTTGATGTTTTCAGCTCGGTGTGAACCATCTCTTTCAGTCAAACGGCGCTGACCATTTTGTCATCAACAATAAGAACCTATTCCAGGAGGAAAGTCAGTCTTCTGTCCCCGATGTGCCGCCTGCTCTTCCCCCCAAAACGGGTACGCCAACCAGACCTCCCCCTCCACCTCCAGGTCAGCCCTCCACAGTTTTACCTGTTACCTGAACTGTTCCCAGGCCTGCTGTGTTTCTCTCTGAAGTCCAGGGCTGTTTAAAGTGTGTTCTGTGTAACTTGTGTCCAGGTAAGAAATCATCTATGTCCAGAACGGAGTCCTCTGACTCCTTTCAGCGTCGTGGACACTTCCTCCCCCAGTCTTCAGGAGACCTCTCCTCCTCCTCCTCCTCGACATCCCTGCCTGCTAAGGATCCTTTAGCCGACCCCTTCGCCCCATCCTCCCCTCCTCTTCACAACATACGGGAATCTGACCGGTTTGCCAGCTTTGACAAAGTGAGCACCTCCCTCTCGCCCTCACCCTCACCCTCATCTCCATCTGACTCTGAATGAACACCCCACTCTCCCCTTGTTTCTCCTGGTATTTAAAAATAAAATTACGTTTAACTGTTCTAATCCTTACGAGCCAGCCTCATTAATCACTCCATCCACTGTCAATTTAAAACAGCTGAAAACTGAACCACCCTGCTGACGTGCAGCATCACAAACTAACAGTGCTGTTTTGATAGTGTTTTAGAAACTATTTTTGGTAACAAGACTCATGCAGACTATCAAATCACCTTGTACCATCGCTGCTGGTGTAAAGATTTTGATCATGAGTGCTTTGTTTCTTTAAATTATGACGTGAAAAGCTACAAACAAAAATCTATAATTTGTTGCCATGTCCCTCAGACTGGTTGACACTCAGTCTGTCACAATAACCACCATTTTAAATAGATAAAAATAAACTTGCCCTTGACTTTGGCTTTACATGTGTTACAGTGAAATAAATCCCCAACACCGTTCTCACCTGTAAGTCTGCCATCAGTACATGTGTGAGATGCGGTGGTGGTTATACACAGGCAAGCTGTGGCACAGTTTACTCTAAATTTTATTGCTACATTTTTACAAATCACTACCAAAGAAGAACTTGTTGGCAGCGGATGGAGAGATGAGCTGCTGCTCGTGTTTGGCTTTTTTTTCCCACCATCCCAACTCTGCACTCACACTGCTGTACATCCTGTGCTTCTAAGGATGTGTGTTGTGTTAAACTGTGCTACTGGTAACTCATTAATATCTAACTATATATTCAAAGCTATAAATGGTGCTGTTATGGAGTACTGACAGTCAGACCAGAACTGCAGTATTTGGTCTAACCTGCAGTTGTCCTTCAACTTGTTGTTATGAAAGTACCCCAGCTGTTAGAAAGTCAAAATCTGGGAAATGAAACTAAAGGTAGTGTTTGAAAATATACTTTACTCAAAATGTCATGTCAACTGCAGTGCAACATGACCCCACTGCATGTGATTTAATACAATCATTGTGGTCAAATCAGAAACGATTTATTCCCCCAGATTCTTTCCAACCCGTTCGTTAACTCTTCTCTCATATACAGTATACCTCGTGTCCCACTACTCTGATTTCTGAGCCTGGGTAACAGACTTTAGCACCCTCTGCTGTTTGCTCCACTCTTTGGCTGCAAATCCACATTTGGAGAGGGTTTTATCATGTATTGTTACAGTAATATATTAAAGGTTTAATGATCAAGTACAAACAGGACACACTCTAAAAAGGTCAGGTAGTACGAACAGGACACACTCTAAAAAGGTCAGGTCTATTTCTGCCACGTCCTGTGCTGTTGTAGATTTGGGATGGTGACTCTTCTTCTTTTATGGCGTCCGCCTCTACATAACTGCACCTGCATGTGCCTGTTGATACTCGACCTGCATGATGTGTGTGTGTGTGTGTGTGTCATATCAGCTCACGCTCATTATCTCAAACCACCGCCTCCACTCTTCCTCAGTCGCTCTCGTAGATCAGTCTGTACTTCCTCTAGCACAGCTCTGTTTTACCAGTTTATTCAGCTCCTATCTGGTCATCAGTATGTTATAAAGTATTACGATCACCTGTACTCTCTGTCGGTGTGTTGGTGCGCACGCATGTCTGTGTGTGTGTGTGTGTGTGTGTGAGAGAGTGTGTCATTTTACACATTTGTTAAATAAATATAATAAAGCGTTAAATCAAGGGAACCAACTGTGGCTTCTATACTGAATGTCTACATCCATGACAACACTATTTGTAGGAGTTTGCCTTTTGAACCAAAGTATTTTTAATTATTTGTCTTTTTCTCATCTGTGACTGCACATTGTGTTGGTGCAACTTTAAAACTTCCAGAAACTTCATTAGGATTTATTTTGGTGGCATTAACGTCTGATCTAACTCCTACAACCGACCAAAAATAAAAGCATGTTATTTTATGACGTTCTTGCATTTTTTCATATCTTTGTTCATATGTTCCGCCTCTATGGGCTGTATGACACCTGCTGGTTAGCTTCTGTCCATCGTTGCCGTCTTTTCTACTGCATGGTTGAACACGAGGTGAACTGTGCTGCCTCTGTCTGTCGGCTGTTAGTTCTGAAGTTGCCGTCACACTGCATGATGTCTGTGGCCCAACAGTCAACCAGTCATGAACCTCTCAGAGGAATTTGACGTGGATTGGAGTCACACGACTCCTATTAACATCCTGTTTAGATGCAGGCCATTGTGTGTTTATTGACATCACATGACCAAACCATCGCACAGAGACGGTCGCTGTCATTTTTCTTTTTTTAAATCGGTGCTTTCTGTCAGAGGAACAACTCCGTTATTCACACCTTTTGAATTTTATTTAAAACATTATAGGCTGAGATTTGATTTGATTTAATGCTGTTTTCACACAAGTATTAGCTAACATTATAAGTCTAGTCTCATAATTTAAAAAAAAGTTATATTTTGATGTTTAAAATGTAACAAAAAACTGATTAAAAAAGATCTGATTTTTTTTTCTCATATTCTCATGTCGGAACAATGTAGGATTTAAAACGAACCAGTTTTACACACAGTACTGATCGTACCAGTTCACCTTTTGTTGACAGTTGTTGACACCTGATACGATCACGAGGAAATACTGCACTGACCAAAATCAGTGTTTAATGTTGCTGCTGTTTGAAGTGATTTTCTACTTTAATGGGACTGGTTCTCATGTACGTCTGGGGCTAATGTTCTGAAGTAAGGAAAAACTGAAGACTGTAAGACCTGTGTATCGGCCTTCAACCAACAACCTATGTGTAGAACCACATTATAACCATAATGTCATAGATGACTGAGCAACAAAGCTGTACACGTGTTTATCTTCTCTTTGCGTGCATTTCCCACTTGTCTTTGTATGTATGTGTGTGTGTGTGTGTATTTATGTGTGGCCCTGCATGTGTAATGTGTGTGTGTGTGTGTGTTTTAATGGAACAGTATCCCACAGAAGAAGACATGATAGAGTGGGCGAAGCGCGAGAGTGAGCGTGAGGAGAAGGAGCGACTGGCCAGACTCACCCAGCAGGAGCAGGAGGACCTGGAGCTGGCCATCGCACTCAGCAAGTCTGAACTCTCCTGAGAGGTACGTCACCACCAACTCTCCTCCCCC